GATCCTTCCGCCTCAGCCTTCCGAGTAGCTGGAACTACAGGCACATGCTACCACGCCCAGCTAATTTTTCGACTTATTGTGGAGATGAGGTCTCGCCAAGTTGCCCAGGCAGGTCACGAACCCGCGGGCTCAGGCAATCCACTCGCCTCGGCCTCCCAAAGCGTGGTATTACAGGCTGAGCCATTGAGCCCGGCCGAGAATGGATGTTTTCTAAAGTTTTAGCAAAGATCTGGAAGGGAAGATGGGCTTAGTGAATGGTGTGTACGCGACTGCGTTGAGAACGTACTTTGCATCTAGGACCCAGGCTGCCAGTTAATGACAGATTGTGGCCTTTCATTCTGCATGCAGACTACGTGAAAGGCTTTGGAGGGAAGTTCGGTGTGCAGACTGACAGACAAGACAAGTGTGCCCTCGGCTGGGACCACCAGGAGAAGTTGCAGCTGCACGAATCCCAGAAAGGTACATTCTCTGCCTGCTGTGCTGGGGAGTCCTGGGGGTGTTTCTGTTCGTTCCGGGTCTGTTGATGTGTGTTGTGTCAGCTGTGCGCCTGTCGCAGTGTCATTTTGTGTCTCCATTTGAAGCTGTCCAGCGCTCCCACACTTCCGGGAACCCTTCAGCAAGTGTAGTGTCGCCGGCTGTATCTGGGATGGGCCCCACGGGTGGGGCCTCCACTCCCCACTCCGGGAATGCCTGGCCCAGCCTAAGAGCCCAAGGCTCCTGGCACAGGTTTCCTGTTTATAAAGTGGGCCATGGCTCCTTCTGAGCTGGGAGTGTCTTCTGTCGCAGTGGGAACCCCATCCCTGGGAAAAGGAGTCTGAGGGAGCTGAAAGCCTTTCCGTGTGACCTAGACCTAAGCCAGGGGTCAGGTGCCCCTTTCCTTCCCAGTGTGCTAGGAGGTGGGCTGCCCCGTGGCTGAGGACCCCGCCCCATCTGATGTGTCTCTCCACACGCACAGATATGTTCCATGGTCTGCAATGTGGGTGGGACTTTAGGAGTGACCCTCCAAACATGGAGTGGCTTCACCGAGTTATTTGAAATGCGGTTCTCAGCTGGTTTCCAGATCTTGGCGGAAGCGTTCAGAGTTCGCTCTTTGACCTGAGCCTTTCGAGCCAACGTCCGACCGTCCGCAAGGCTGGATCTGTCAGGTCCAGCTCTTGCTTTCTGGCAGTGACGTGTTTGATGGCTGCATGTGCTCATCCGATTCTGCCTCAACTTGTGTTTCCTCTCTCGGCTTTCCCCATGTTGCTTGTGGATTTGCAGATTATAAGACGGGTTTCGGAGGCAGATTTGGTGTTCAGTCCGAGAGGCAGGACTCCTCTGCTGTGGGGTTTGATTACAAGGAGAAGCCGGCCAAGCACGAGTCCCAGCAAGGCACAGTCGCCCCCAGACCCCCTTCCGGTGCTGCCACTTCTAGCACAGACTTCGGGGCTCACCGTCGGGGCCTGCAGCACGGTCTACCAAGCCGCCCACCGTCAGCTGCCAGGGCTGTGGGCGTTTCAGATCTGGCTAGGGAGACACAAACTGGGAACCATTCCCCATCTAGTCCTCGATTTATTTTCCCCCTGTGACCTTTAGGAATTGTGTTTGCTAAAATGCAGTGGTGAGTTTGCAGGCCTGGTCATTGTAGCCCCGTGACGTGTCCAGCCCGAGACTGGCGTCCCTGGTCTCCAGCGGCAGCTGCATGAGCTGGTTGTGCTGTTGACCCTGACGCCGAGAATCAGAGTCAGGCCTTCCTGCCTTTGAGATGAGGAGAGATGTGTTTGGCTCAGCCAGACCACTGACCTTGAGGCCAGAGCTCAGCAGCAGCCAGGGCCGTGAGACAGGCTTGTTCTGTGTGGTTTCTGTGTTGAATTTGTGCTACTGTTTTTTGACCAGGGGCGGGAGGCTCTTTTGTTTGTTGTGGTTTGTTCGATGACACGTCTATGTGTGACATCTCCACACAGAGCCACACAGTATGTACGCAAAGCCGGCGGACACGTTTTTCCTTAGAGTGGTTATTTCTTTATTTCATATCCTTGAAATCTGGGCATGGTTCTTAGAACCTGGACCCGCGATTGGCATAGTAGTAACTCCCCACCCTTGCAGGGCAGATGGCAGGCTTCCCGCCTGTGGTGGTAGAGACACAAGGCAGTGCTGAGGCGTGGGCAGGTAACTGCACCCGGCCGCCCTGCAGCCCGCAGGGAGCTGGGCGCGGGTCCCGTGCCGTGACTGCTGCATGCCAGTGTGACTTCATGTGGATCTGTGTTGCTGCCTAGAGCCGTTCGGCCGGGGGAGTCTCCACATGGATTTTTCTTTCTTTTGAAAAGCAAGAGAGCAAACTGCGATTGAGCCTCTTTTTAGCGCTCAGTAGAGCAGGCGCACAGGAAACAGATGCGAATCAGCCCGCGCTGGTGCGGAAGACTGTGCTATTGAAGTGGCGCGTTGCAAAGGCCTGTCCCGTGCCCCCGCCTCGGCTTGTCCCTGCCAGCCTGCCGCCTGCCGCCCTCCTGCCCCAGGGGAAGGCCCACGCATGCCCCCGGCCTCCGCTCTGCTCACTGCCTGTTCAAGGGCCGGGTTGGGAGCCACACGTGCCCACGAGTCGAGGCTCGCCGGGTCGTTCTCGTCTCCTGCTCTGGGCGCACTCTCTTGGCTGTCTCTGGGCCTGTCTGCATGCGCCTGCTGCCGGCCCACGCCGTCTTGACCTCAAGAGTAAGTGTTGTGTTCTGCCCATTTCAGACTACTCCAAGGGCTTCGGCGGGAAGTACGGAGTGCAGAAGGACCGGATGGACAAGGTAAACACCCCTCACTCAGGGTTGGAACTCCTGGCCAGTCCACCCTGTCGCGGTTGTCTTCCGGCCGGTGTGGCCCGTGGCTCTGGAAGTGTACTCCAGGGCTGGACCCGCAGCATGGCCATTGCAGTGGCTGACTCGGGCGGTCCTGTGCTCTTGGGCTTATGCTAAGGGACAGGTGCTGTCACCAGCCCACCTTCTGGTCAGCGGTCCAAGGCCAGGCAGGCTCCGTGCTTGGCCTCAGCGCGGTGGGGGCAGCTTGGCTGCCCTGGGACCCAGATGTGTCACATGAGCGATGAGTGCCTCTAGGGCATGCGGGCATTTGGACTTAAATTCTTAACATCCAGTCACTTTGGAGGTGGACTTCTTGGGTCACGGTGGCCATTGGAGGAGCTCAGAGCTGTGTGTGATCAGGGCTGCCGTCTCGGGAAGCGCAGGTCTCCACCAGGCAGCGCCAGAGAGACATGGCCGGGAGCCTGCAAAGCCGGGGACGGGACACGGTACGCGCAGGGTAGGGACAGGAGTCCCCCAGATTCTGAACAGGAGCCGACAGCAGAGGGCAGGAGGGGGCCTGAGGGACTGGCCCTGGGAGCCCACAGACCACGAAGGCTTGGTGGTTGTGACACGAGTGGCCCTGAGGGCTGGGCAGGCCGGGATGCCCGTGGGGTCTGCTTGAGGGGCCTTGGCCACAGCATGGAGACTGCGTTGCAGGAGGCTCAAGGGCTGGTGCGCGAAGGAGTGTCTGGGGGTTGGGGGCGCTCGGGACACAGCAGCCGGGCTTGGTGTCAGCGGAATCAGGGTGGAGCTGGATGGCAGGGGAGGAGCAGATATGGGCATAAGTGGGGCGGGGGGGCAGTGTGCAGAGCGTGGGGGGCAGGCCATGCCCTCACGATGGCAGCTGTCGGGCAGTCAGAAGAGACTGGGCAGGGACATCCAGCGAGGTGACTGGGCTGTGGAAGGAAGGAGCACGTGCACCCGTGGGTGAGTCAGAGGTTGTGAATCTGAGGCTGGAAGCTGAGGAGGTTTGTGTCTCATGCAAGTCTGTGGTCAATGCTGATGGTGATGACAGTGACCGCTGACCTGCAGCCCCTTGGCAGGAGGCGTGTGGAGAGCTGCCTCAGTCCTGGGAGGTGTGTTGCTCTCCCTCCGAGTCTACTGTGTCATTGAGTGGCCTGAGCGTGGCACAGTGGGGCAGCTGCCCAGGGTCCAATGCTGGGCTGGGACCGGACTCAGGTCCTAGGCCCTTCCCTGAGGGCGAGGTGCGGTGGTCCCTGTAGGTGTGAAGTGCCAGCAGGTCCACTTCCTGGGTGAGGCTCGTGGCCTGGCCCTTGCTCGAACAGACATGGAGCGACTGAATGACCAGAGCATGGCCAGCGTGGACCCTGGAGCCTGCAGGACAGAGGGCAGACGTGGGAGGAGGGACAGGGCCGGGCCGAGATGCCTGGGAGAGGGTGGTGCTGGGCAGGCCGGGCCGTGTGCGGGCGCTCTCATGGTGGAACCCAGGACGGCGCGGGTTTCCAGGAACCTGCCCGTCCTCACCCGAGTCAGCTTTCCCGTGGCATGTCCTTGCTGCCCTGTGGGATGATGTAATCAGGCACCCTCAAAACAAAAGGCATGGCCGCGCGTCCCGGGAAGTGGTGGGAGGGACTGGGCCAGCTGAGGCTCGCAGGGGTCCCGAGTGCCTGCCTTTCCGCTTCCTGCACACCTCGCGCCTCTCAGTGCGAGGGAGTGTGGGACAGACTGGAGGAAGATCCCAGGATTGATTTGCAGTCGAGCAGATGGGGATGCGTGCGTTGTCATCCTAACGCTGAGTCATGGTCACCAGCGAAAGTGTTTGGTGATATTTCTCCTGCCCAGTTAATTGGCCACACGGAGCGGCGGGGTGGGCGCTCGGGGCTGCTGGGTGGGTATTTTGGAGAAGCTGGGGAAGGCTCGAGGCTCTGGCGTGCAGGAAGGTGAATGAGCTTCCCTGACGTCTGTTCTCCTCCCATCTCCACAGAATGCGTCCACCTTTGAAGATGTCGCCCAGGTGTCCTCGGCTTACCAGAAGACGGTGCCTGTTGAAGCCGGTGAGTCGTGGCAGGCCCCAGAAGCAACCGTGTGGTCGTCCCAGGAGGAAGGGCTGTGCTGCGGGGAAAAGGGTCGTTGTGAGACAGAGCCAGGGCAGATGGGCATTCGTCATGGCTCACTGCAGCCACGAGCTCCTCGGCTCCAGCAGGCCTCCCACCTTGGCCTCTCAAAGTGCCAGGACCACAGGAATGAGCCACCGCACCCATCCTGTGACTCTTTGGATGAGCTCCTGTGTGCTCTTGCAGGGTTCAGAGATCCCTACAGACACAGCGGGCGCAGCTCCTTAGATGGCTTTGCTGCGAGAGGCGCTTCCCAGAGCAGAGAGGGCGAAACGCACGTCCACATGGTCCCCACTGCAGTGACGGGCTCTGAGGGAGGTTCAGGCGACCTGTACATGCTGGGCCCGTCGGACTCAGCTGCGATGGAGAAAGGCTGGAATGCCTGTGCACAGGCCCCAGCAGCGGCCTATTGGCTGCTCAGCTCAGCCCGCCAGGCGGCTCGAGGCCTGTCCCTCAGGTGTCTGCTGGGCACACGTGGGAGCTGGTGTGGGCCACACCCTGCAGAGAGAATCGTCTAGTTGGGAAAATTCCGTAGATGGCAGCGATAGCTACGTTCAGGCTCGGAAGCAGAGTCCACTCAGCTTCCTGCCTGTGCCCTGGGTTGGCATTCCAGAATCTGTGGCCCAGGTTACTCGGATGCTTTGAAAATGAGCTTTTGTTGGTGGCGGCCATATTTCTTTTATCAACTGTATTAGAAATTAGTGGTGGGCTGGGCGCAGTGGCTCACACCTATAATCCCCGTGGTTTGAGAGGCTAAAGTGGGAGCATTGCTTCAGGCCAGGAGTTCAAGACTAGCCCTGGCAACATAGCAAGAGTCTGTTTCTACAAAAAAACACAGAAGTGAGCCAGGTATGGTGGCGCATACCTTGTGGTCCCAGCTCCTTGGGAGTTTGAGGCTGTAGTGAGCTACGATCGTGCCACTGCACTCCAGCCTGGATGGCAGAGCAAGATCCTGTCTCCTGTGAAAAAAAAAGAAAGAAATTAGAGGAAAGTTTTAAGTCAACTCATTTAAAAGTAATAAGACCATTACATATACATGCTATACATGACATTTCTTATGAAACGTTCTATGCTTCTGTGAATTCCTTGAAGAGAAGGTGGCTAAACTCTCAAGCTGCATCTGGTTCAGTCTGTTGTGATAAGTTATGTTGTTTCTGGAGAAGACCTGGGCTCACTAGCAAGGCGGCTGGGAAAGGGAGTCTGTGTAGTGCCAGGTCCGTCGTGGCCTGAGCATGCCTCCTGAGGGCTGGCGTCCTGTGCTTGGAGCAGCGTGCTGGCCCAGCTACTTACTTGTGTCTCGTGTTGATTGTTTTGGAAAACGTGTCTCCCATGTGCTGACATGCTTCGTTATGCGGCGCCAGAACCCACGTCGGTTACCATCAGCTGTCTCGTCAGCAGTCTTTCACTGGAAATTGTCCTGCTCATGTGGCAGCTACAGATTTTCCAAAATCCTGCCTTTTGCTTGAAAGCTGGAATTTTCCTGCTGGCCACAAATATGCAGTCATTTTTCTTGACACGGTAGGCTCAACTCGTTGACTCTGGAGAAGATGTCTGCTGGACACCCAAATCTGCACAGCCACAGTTTGCAGCTGTTACTTCAGGGAAGCATGGCGTTCTAGGAACGGTTCAGCTCGTAACTCAGATCACTGAGTCAGGGCTGCTTCCAAGATAGGGTCATACGCCCTTACATGGCAGGGGCCGCTGGTGACGTCCCCAGTGCTGCCACACAAAAGATCAGAGATGGACGCTTGAGGGTTGAGAGTTACTAGAAGTCAGTACTTTCTACTACTTTATGATTTTATTTTGTTTTTTGAGTTGGAGTCTCACTCTGTTGCCCAGTCTGGAGTGCAGTGGCACGCGCACGGCCACTGCAGCTTCAGCCTGCTGGGATCAGGGGATCCTTCTGCCTCAGTCTTCCAAGTAGCCAGAACTACAGGCACGCGCCACCATGCCTGGCTAACTTTTTGATTTCTTGGAGAGATGAAGTCTCAGACCACTGGGCTCAGGAAATCCTCTCACCTGGGCCTTCCAAAGTGCTAGGATTAGGGCATGAGCCACTGCGCCTGGCCTCTACTGCTGTAGTATGAAGGACAGATGTCCTTCAGTGAAACTCACTGCTTAAAAAAAAATTGTGGGCTATTGCCAGACCTTTGCCGCCATTGCCTCACTAGACTCTGGTGTGGCCATGTGTTCTTTGAGCTGTGGCTGTCGCCATGCTTCCTGGCATTGACCCTCTCCTTTACCTTGGGGAGGTGAATCTCCTCTTCTCTCTAATTTACTTCCTAAATAAACTAAGTTTTCTAATCTAAAAAAAAATTGTGAGAGCAGTGGTAAGGATGTGATGATGCCTGGTCTAGGAATCTTCAGGATGCACGGCTTGGCGTAACCCTCAGATCCATAGATCTGCTATGCGCTGGAGCAGACACTCTGGCTGCTCTGGGTGTGGGTGGGCTGAGCCTGCAGCTGGGTGGGCTTCTCCCCTCCTGGGGTCAGCTGGTTCCTAGGGAGGTCGCCTGGTGCGGGGTGTCATCCAGGGCGGTGTCATGCGAGTTGAGGTCAGACTTCTCCTTCCGCCGCAGTGACCAGCAAAACAAGTAACCTCAGAGCCAACTTTGAAAACCTCGCCAAGGAGAAGGAGCGGGAGGACAGGCGGAAGGCGGAGGCGGAGAGAGCCCAGCGCGTGGCTAAGGAGAGGCAGGAGCAGGAGGAGGCCCGGCAGAGGCTGGAGGTGAGAGGAGGCTGCTGTGTCACGCGGGGACTTGCTTGCACGACTCAGACACGCTGGGGCCGTGAGTGGGCTTGTTCTCCCTTGGAAAACACGCTTCCTTCCTGCACGGGGCTCCTCTGAGGAGTTTCTCATGTGCAACCACGCACGGAAATCTGGCCAGCTCCAGCCTGGCCTCGGCCCCTGCCTCTGTGCAGGGCCACGGTGACGTGGCTGGGTCCTGCCGCCTTCCTCACCTGCGAGCCGGGCCTGGTGTTTGCCCAAGTCTCTGCCCACCCCACCTCCTGGCCCCGCTGCTTCCTGGTGGGAGGGGTCTGCCACGCAGGGGCAGGCCACGCTCTCCCCACTTGCTCTGGAGGCCGGGAGCTTCTTTCCATGTGCTTCTCAAAGCTGTTTTCTTCTGAGGCAGTGTGGGCAGTGACAGCGTCGCCTGTCCGGATGGGCAGGCGTCGGGGTCCTGGTCCACTGGCCACCTGCTGCAAAGGCACGAGCACACAACGTCAGCCTTCTCTGTGGCACTACGTTTTGGCTGTGAGGTGGAGGTGGGCATGCGTGTGTGACTCTGGGCCAGCTGGGAAGTGCGGCGTGATGTCTGCACACGAAGCCGTTTAACACCCGGCTTCCTGTCCATCCCTGGACATTTCCGCCCCACGTCAGGCGCTGGGCCCTGAAAACCCCCTCCAGGGAGAATGCGGTGTTGAGGTTAGCACACAACGGGCAGGGGGCACCAGGCTAGGACCCTGACAGACAAGCGTGGCGTGTTTATCACACGCAGCAAGAGAGGAATAATGGCAAAATGAGGGAATCCCCACCAGCCACTCCCTAACTCCCAGAAGCTCCTTGAGTCGTCTCTCCTTCCCAGCTTGAGTAAGAGGCTCGTGCAGTAGTTTTTCTTTCTTGCGGAACGGACAGATTACATGCACAGCAAGGCATTTTGTTTCTAGTGTCTTGTCTCCTTTTCACATCATTGATGCTGGCCTCGCTTTGTGCTTGGAGTTTTGAACCCTGCTGCCCGAGTGCCATCCGCACCCCAAAGATGCCAGGCAGTGTGGCTGCTGGAAAGAGAAGGGCTTCAGGGCTTCGTCGTCCTGCCTGTTGTCTTGTGGGAGTGCCTGCCGTCCCCCCGGTCCCTCGGTCTTCTTGGTGGTGACGTGCTCCAGGGGGGTGATTCCTCAGGTGCACCCTGGGGCAGTCTCTGAAGGTCCTCAGACGCGCAGCCTCTGGCAGGATGCTTGCCACTGGCGAGGGCTGTGGGCAGGGCCCACGCCACACATGTGCTTGTGGAACTGTGGTGTGACTCGGCAGCCAGGGGCCTCTGTGCTACGCTCTGGAAGCTCCCGCTTCGGCCCAGGCCCTGCCCCTCCAGGGTCACATGGGACACCGGCGCCTCAGGAGTTTCACCCATGCATGAGTCCAGGGACCGGGAGCCTCCAACTGTCCTGTGTGGGTCGGACAGGGTCACGCAGAGTCCGCGAGCCGTGCTGGGGTCTCGGGGCCAGGGTGGCTTCTCTTCTGCAAGACGAGGTCGCGCCGCCGTTCCTGTCAGAGGGGTGCCCTGCAGAGGCGACAGGAGATGGAGGGCCGGCTGCTAGGCGGCCTCCTGCCTACCACGCCCGACTGCGTGTCCTGCGCGTCCTGCGCATGCCCCCAGCCTTACAGCCTTCGCCTCCTGGTAACTCCAGGCGGTGGCGGGAGTATCCTGCCTCTGGTGTCCCACCTCCACCCCGCGATGCCTACCCTCCTGGAGGTCGGAAGTCCTGCAGAATGACGACAGCGGGACTGCGTCTCCCGGCAGACTCACCGGCCCTTCCTTCACCACTCCAGCCTCTGCTGTCACCGTCACCACTCCTGCCTCCCTGTCACCAGGGCCCTGTGGTTGGACTGGGTCTGCCTGGATGGTCCAGAGATCGCCCTGCAGACTCCTTCACGGCATCACACCCACACTCCCTCTTGTCGCACAGGGCCACGTAGCTGCAGGATCTGGGCACTAGGGCGCCAGCAGCTTTGAGGACCATTAAGTCTACCAAAATCCACCCAAAGATCCATATTTATTCCGAGTGTAAAATACATCCGCCTCATGTTACGGTCCCAACTCGCCCCGTGGCAGCGTCAACTCAGAGTCCCAAATCTCATGACTTGAGTCATCTAACTAAGGGTGGGTGAGACTCAGGCCGCGCCGTCTCCTAAGTCCTGTGGGTCACGCGGTGGTGGCAGGAGAGGGTGCTGCGCTGGCCTCTGGCCCCCGCCTGGAAGCACGCTCGCCCTCGATGCCCGCGGCACCCCATCTCAGTGGCCCTCTGGGACCGGAAGCACGCGGCCACTGAGCAGCCTGTCTGTTTCCACTGCAGGAGCAGGCCGGAGCCAAGCAGCAAAGCCCACCCGTGTCCCCTGTGCCTGCGCCTGCTGAGGAGAAGCCGCCTGCGAGCCCCGTCTACGAGGTGGGTGTCTGTTTGGTTCAGACCGTGTGACTTAGAGCCGGAGTCCGGGTTCCCTTGGGGCAGCCCTTCCCGGACAGCTGCGCCCTAGAGGGGGGGCTGGCTGGTCTCCCGAGCAGGGCGACACGTCCCGCTTCCATGGGGTGGGGGACGTCCCCCAGCCTGCGCCTCCCTCACCCTGCACAGCCCTCCGCACCCACCGCAGCCTGGCTGCTTTCACCGCAGTCTCCACGAAGTCGCTCGATGCCGCGATCAGACACGCTGTCTTCGTGTCACCGGCCCGGCCACTCCCTTCCGGAATCCCGTGCTCCCGCGGCATGGAGACACTGCCCCCGGGCTCTGCCCTGTGGCCGCTCCCTTCCAGCCCCTCCGAGTGTGTCCTCCAGACACGCTGCCCCGCCCATCCCGGCACGGCTGCTTGTGACCCCCTCACACGGTCGCCCGCCCCTTCCCGAGCTGCCGAACTCCCTGCCCGGACCCCGGCAGCCCAGCCTCGTGTCCCCCCCTCCCAGCGAGTCCCACTGCTTGCGGCCAGACCCGCCGCCCGAGACCAGACGGTCAGCTCGCGGCCACATCCGTTCAGTGACCACGCCCTTGACTCCTGACCGCCCCTGCCCTCATCACACTCTCCGCCCACGGCCACTCACGCTGCCCACGCCCGCCCGCCACCGGGCTCCGCCTGCGCTCCTCCAGTAGCCACGCCCGGCCCTGGCCCTGCTCCTTCTCCCTCCTTGCACACTCGTCTTCATCATCGGGATACCCTCTGTCAGCAGCCAGCGGTTGTCGTGTGGTCACTCCTGAATTGGGGGTGGAACCCCGTGGGCCTGGTCCTGTGGCCTTGCTGCCCGTGGCCTCCGCTCCCACTCCCAGCCCTGTCCTGCGGCACCTGCCGCTCCCCTCCGCCTGCCGGGTTCATCCTGCTGGACCCCGGCAGATGTGGCGGGCCAGGCCTTGTAGCTGATCGCCCAGTGGCGAGCAGCTTGTATCCCCACTCTGCCACAGGCCCTGCCCAGCCGGGCACTGCGGAGCCGGTCCTCTGACAAGGAGGGGACCAGAGGTCTCTGGGAGGGTGCGGTGCCGTGTCACAGATGGGAGGACGCTGCCACCCCAGCAGCCGCCTGCAGCCCTCCCGTCTCTTCCCTGGGCGTTCAGGGGTCGCCGCAAGGGAGCACTGACTCCCTGCCCTCGCTCATGGTCGAGGCCTTTGCTGGGCCCAGGCCGGCTGGGTGGGTTTTCTGTCCTTGGCCTCCAGGAAGCCGGTTTTGGGGGCTCCTGTGGGCAGGTTCTGAGCTGTGTGGCTGCTCGCTCTAACCCACAGGGACCTCCATGTGACCCTGGGAGGGGGCCCCGGTGAAAGCTGTCCTGGTGGTCATGGGCAGCCCCAAGCCGCCGCTAGGCTCAGACGTCCCCGTGGTATCAGCACAGAGGCACTGAGTGCCCTGCGCCTCCTGCCTGAACGGGACGTTGAGCGCGTCACTTCCCTCACGCTGCAGGGGATGTGAGGACAGAGCCCGGCTGCAGGCCCGGCTGCCGTGGGCAGGGCTGGGGCAGCATGGTAGAGCCATGTCAGGCGGCGCAGGTGCAGGATCCCGCCTGCAGGCGCCTTGATGGACTCTGAGAGAACCTGGCCACGTCCAAGCCAAGGCGGGCTCCCCCGCAGGCCCCGCAGAGGGCGTGAGGGCCGTGGCCTCCTCAGAGCTGGGGAACGTGGGCGTGAGGAGGGTCTTTGGAGCCGCAGGCTCCCGGCACTGGTGGCTCGGCCTCCCCGTCCCCATGGGGCAGCCCTGGCCAAGACGGAGTGCTCTGTAGAAGCCAGCACGGCCACAGGACGTGTCTTTTCGGCCCTCCCCAGGACGCGGCCTCCTTCAAGGCGGAGCCCAGCTACAGAGGCCCCGTGAGCGCGGCTGAGCCGGAGCCCACCTACAGCGTGGAGGCCGACTACCAGGAGGCCGGCAGCCAGCAGGGTCTGGCCTGTGCCCCAGAAGCCGTCTACGAGAGCGCGGAGGCCGCTGGCCACTACCAAGCAGGTGAGAGTCCCCACTCCAGAGCCCTCCCCGGGGGGAGCGGCCCCTGCTGTGCCCAAGGAAGGAGACGCCCCCTGAGCCTAGTGCCTGGACTGTGTCGGGGTACGGCCTGATCCGGTGGGAGTGGCAGGTGCACGGGGGACCTGGGCTCAGACCCTCCGTCTGCCTCCAGAGGAGAATGCCTACGACGAGTACGAGAACGACCTGGGCATCACGGCCATCGCCCTCTACGACTACCAGGCCGGTGAGGGCCCGCTCGCGGGCAGGCGCTGCTTCCTGCCTCCTGTCCCTCTTCTGGGGGTCCCCTCCTTGGGTCAGCCTTTCGGGCGCCGCTCCGGCTCTGGAGATGGTTATGTTGAAGCAGTTTCAGAGTCACAGGCCAGGCCAGGGGGACCAGCAGCCCCCTGCCCCTCAGCTGGTCCCATCTCTCTGCCACGCCCCCATTGGAGAGCTGCAGGGGTGCCCGTGCCCAAAAGACTCCGTCCCGCAGCGGAGGAGCTACAGACGCCTGGATGCTCAGACTCCACTCCCGGCTGTCCTGCTGGTGCCGACTGCCGGTGGCGCCTGTTGGCTCCTGCCCGCCCCCCTGCCCATTCGCTCCCCGCCGCCCCTCTATGCCTTTCTTCCAGTCTCCCCCACCAATCCCGTCTGCTTTCTCTGAGCCTTCTGGGCTGGCCCTCAGCTGCCTGCCTGCGTTTCCTCGGGGCTGAGGCAGGGTCCGTGCTCCAGTGGCGGAAGGCCACAACGGAGGCATTCCCCTGTGCCCCAAGCCAGGCTCACGGCATCCGTCCACCAGCCCCTGCCCATCACCTGGTCCGCACAGCCACCGTGGCCCTTCAGCAGACAAGTGTCTTGTGGGCTGACGCGGGTTCCCCCAGTTCCTGCTCTCCCTCCTCCGCCCCTCAGACTCTGAGGAGTGGCTTCCACATCCGCCCGTTCTTCTCATCTGGAAGTTGGCGGTCTCCCTTAAGGGGGTTCCTCTCCTGATGTGTCCTCGTGTTTCTGAGCTCCTCCTGGGAAGGTGGGTCAGCGCCTGTGGGGCGGAGGCTTCGGGGGTATGGGCATCCCTGCCGCTCTCCAAGGCTTCGGGGGAGACTGAAGGTGACAGGCACGTGTTGCAGAGAGAGGGGGTCTGGCTGACGGGTGGTGGGCGTCCCGGTCCCACACCTGGATGTACGTGTCCACACACGAGGCACTGCTGTCCGGACGCCTGTGTGGTTCACGGCGCCGTGCTCCCCGCTGTGCCCATTGCCACCCCAGCCTGGCCTTTTGGCATCCTTCCCGTGTCTGTGAGGCCTCCTCCCGCCATCCCTCCGCCGTCTCTCACGCGTGTCCAGTGTCGAGGGCGCTCGTCCCCTTGTCCTCCAGGGGGCCCTACCAGGCAGAGGGAAGGAGGTGGGCGGGAGTGGAGGGGCAGCGGCTGAGCCCCCACAGGGAGCGCGGCTGACGGGGTCCCCTCTGCTGCTCTGCACCCGAGGCCTCTGCGGGCCGGGTCTCCGGGCACGGGCGGCTCGGGGGCCGGGCACAGCCGCATCTCTGCGTCTCTGTACCCCTTCCCAGCGGGCGACGACGAGATCTCCTTCGACCCCGACGACATCATCACC